GGTATTACTAAGGTATATTATTCTACAGATACATACTCAATATGATTGCTTTTTTTTGTACAAGAATAACACAATTTAAACAAAACACAAGGGATTGGAATCTATCGGATATTTGTGTATATATATAAAATTTTCAATTCTTGTCCCTTGATTTTGCATTGAAGAAAGTGTTAGGAGGAATTTTTGACCACCCTAGAATGTGGCAGCATTCTGAAAAGCTATGTACTTTGTATTTTCTAATTAAGACTGAAATTGTACATATAATCCCCCTGCTAGTAAGGAACTGAGACTTAAAAAATCGAAAGTTTCTTGGTTTTTTTAATTGTACTTCTATGTCATTCTGTGTGGTTACACTTCATCTAGACAGATAGACAACTCAAACCAAAGAGGGAGCACGATCATCAAATAGATCGTGCAATACATTATTGGTCCAGTTTGTGAGAACACAGTTTAAAATTACAATAATAAAATTTGACCTGCAGACTCAAATTTAAGACTTCAACCATTGACTGAAGCATACTTTGGCCCTTCAAAAAGAGGAAATGCACAATATCTCCACTCTTGGAAAGTTTCTGATGCTCTTGCCCCTTCAGAAAGCACAGGGCCTACCACAATGTCCGAAGTCTTAAGCCACATCCTAAGAAGTTTGCCCTATTATTGTTGCAGTTGGCTATTTAGTTTTCTTTCTGACACACTACAGACAGAAAGAGCACCTTTAGGGTCTGATTCTGCGTTTCTCAAAACGCCCACTGAAGTCCATAAAAGTATGGTGTACCTGGAGACTGTAGCATCAGGCTCCCAATTACTGTTCCGTTACTCAGTGAAATCTTACCTAAAGGTTTAAGTATATAACTATAACAGATACGTATTACTCTATTTTTATTTTTTCTTATCTGCAAGATGTCAGGAATTTGCACAGACCACTCTTTGAGAAGAAATATTAAAGAAATGTAAATTGTCTGGATGTCCAAAAGTACAGAATAGAGGTATCTCTTCATTTGAGAGCTGAAAGGTTTAATATTCAGACTAATATTTCTCTTCTGCAGCTAAGACATTGGATTTCTAATCTGTCAACAGTCTTTTTTTATAAAAGAGATGTATGGATATTTCTATCCATTTTTAATTAAATTTTATAAATTATGATCTGTATATTATTACCTCTGAGTTGCAAATTGACTAGAACACATAAACAAATACTAAAAGGACTGAGGCCCTGATCTGCTTCCCACGAAAGCCAGTGGAAGGGGAGCCATAAATTTCTATGGGAGAATTGCAAATAGTTTTGTGCTAAAGGAAGAATTGTGGCATCAGGTGAAGCAAAGTACAAAAGAAACGTAATTAAAGTACAAAACGTTATCATATGTTCAAAAAAGTTTAAAAATCTTCAAATTTTACAAGCATTATATTTTTCAGATTTGAATAACTTGAAAAGAGAAAAAAGGATCTTTCAGCAATCTCAACAGATATTTTAGGCTGAATAGATATTTAGGTAGAATGCAGGATAAGGCCCAGAATGTTTATGTTAAACAATAATAAATTGTCTATGCTGGGAAACTCAACTTGAACTGCAGCTGCAAAGGTTTCTTTCCTCTTTTCTTATCGTTTTTTTTTTTCTTCCCAAACTGATCTGGTTCAGCCAGGGTGTAGCTGTAATTACCTTCTTCCCATCTACAGCTAATACCTCAGAGCAATAAAAAAAACTGAGGGTGTTAAAATTTCAAACACTAGTTGTGGGCTGTTATATTTACTAAACACAGCAGAGTAGTAACAAAAGTTTCATCTTCTTGTGGCCAGCACTGCTCTGTTTGATCTACGAAGTCCCTGGACCTTTTTCACTAACTATATTATATAACGGTTAATAGCACACTAAAATAAAATTCGATAAACACACTTATTACCAAACATGTACAGCAAAATCACTTACAGCTGTCTCCTTTTTCCAGCACAGGGATATCTCCGAAGAGTTCATTCCTTTGTTGATTTTGGTTTTGGTTTCCAATTAGGTGATATAAATAGTAGAGCAGTGGATTTTGAAAGTGGAAGCATGCACTATTTGAGTACCTCATTTAAAGTCTTATGGTAATAAGGTAATATGGTAATAAGGTAATATGGTAATAAATATTGGTTAATCCTACAATTGTTTCTGTTACTTTCCCTTTTTCAGGTTTTCATGTCTAGCAAACCAATAAAGCTGAGAGCTGTCTTAGTTCCTAGTTCAGCACTGCCACTGTCACCACTACTACCTCTCACATTCATGTTAAACACACAGAGGGTAGCTTTACACCACTTAACAAGAATAGAGGGGTATGGATTTTTGGGGTGTCAAACAGCTGTCACAAACTGTCACCTCCTCAAGAGAAACCTTGGCACACAACAAATTAACCTACACTTCTTTTGGGCTATCATTATTCACAGCCAATCAGTTGAAATGCTCCTAGTATTTCATGTGCAAATAAAACCATGAGGGGAAGACCCGTGGATCAGAATAGCGGGCCAATACATAAAACAGAGGAAACAACACGCTGTCTCTGTCCTTCTGAAGTGGCTCATCATCTCCCCTGCACCAACTTTCACCAAATGAGATCTAGCCTGAGGCTGTATATTAAATATGCATATCAAGGCAAATGAAAAAAAATAAACCTGGAGAGTCAAATTGGACAAATTTGCATGCTTGAACTGTTACATTTCCAGGTAGATGTTCAGAAATGATAGCTCATTTTTAAATAGACTTGCATGATTATATTAACCATTTTTTTAAGGTTTTCCTTCTCTGTGAATAAAGGTGGATTTCTTCCTGCTGGAACCTTGCACAGTGTAAATATAAAACATGGTAGTTTGACTAAGCTATAAAAAAGTGTTAAAGTTTTGTCAGGAAAACAAGCTAATATACAAAAAAAAAAAAAATCCAATAAGGAGACACATTTCCCAAAACGCATGAATAAAATGTAACTATGTGATACAGCTCTTCATTTCCCAGTTGGTGTTCTGGTTGCACAAATTATTGCTTCCTTTCAAAACAAATAGCAGGGGGCTAAAGTAAAAATGTTATAGCTCAAATCTCCAGGAAATAAAAGGCTTTAAATTATAATACCCAATGAAGTGGTAAACCCTAACGGGTGCAAGATAAATGGGTTGTCATATTTATTTTAGTTTGTTTTTGGGGCCACAGATTCTTCTTAGGGATGATAATAGTTACCAAATTATCAAAATGCTAACCCCCTCCACCTCTGTCCTATCATTGTGTGTGAATTTAAATATTATAATGGAGCACTGCAAATTGGCTTGAGCATTTGCCATCTGCCAGAACCCTAAACAAGCTAGTTTATCTAATCTCTTCAATATAAACATAAGCATGCTCCATTTCTACACTTCCACTTGAAACACAGGCTTGTAAAGAAAGTGTACTGGAGAAACATGTTAGTTTTTTTCTGTTTCTCTAAATTTTTCACAATGAATCACTATCTTTCAACTTGCCACTCATTTCAATTTCTTTTCTAGTATTCTCCCAGGATACTTATGCCCACTAATTTAGGGTTGTAAAATGCCATGATACAAATATTTTTGAAATTGTGTCATGATTCATGGAGTTTAACATCTACATGTGAGATAGCTGATAAGCAGAGAAACTTTCAGGAAGCTCTGCATACCTTTTTCTCTCAAAATAATAGATTTGAAATGTAAAACATAGCACAAACCTTGTCCTGCAATGTTTACTGAATACAAATGAGAAAATGAAAGCTAAGGCTTGGGTCCCAAAATATTTCCCATAACTAAGTCGTGCCAGAAGGGGGACATTAGAAGACTTTATTATTATTTTATCTCCCAATTCAGCTTCAGTCCAGGTCTAATGTAATTATCAGATACTCACACAAACAACATGTTTTCAAAGGAAACAAAAGCTCCTAGAAAGCTCATTCTCCCTGGGCTTGCAGCTACTCCTCTTAACACACTGGGAAATAAAGGCAGGCGCCTGTGCAGAAAGCATGATTAACTTCACACAGGGTGTTAAATTAATATTTCAACCACTAAAATATTAGACTGTATCATTTAGATTAGGAGTTCAATTGAATCTAAAACTGTGTAAACCCCTTTACCCCCCAGGGATGCATTCCTATAAATAAACTGGAGTTCACACCCACTCTTTTTAACCAGAGCTATTCCTTCCCTTTTCTGCGGTACCAGCTGCAATCTTTCCGTTCACATCCCGAAGTCTCTTTGCATCTACATCTTTTGAAGGATCACAAGAGCCGCTCCAAAACCCGGAAAAACAAAGGCATTCTCCTCACCACGCACACCAACATTTAGTCCTACACACATTACACTAATCCACGAACTCCTAAAGTGTTAAAATCAACCGCTAACCTATGGTTACTCAATCATCAATCTCTCCAGCTTTCTGTAATACATTGTTAATAATTGCTTCATCAAGGTTACTGTCTTTTATTATGAAGATGCTTCAGGCATTTGGCAATAAGTCCATATTCTGACAATAAGTTGCTCTAAAGCAAAAGCATTGGAAACTCTAATGTGCTAACCCCCTTTTTTTTTTTAATGCAGTGTGGTATTGCCAATAATTCTCATCACTTGTCATCCCCACAAGAGGGGAGGGGGGAGCAAATCAGCAAACTTTCTCCCTAACTTTCTTGTCTCAGTTTCCTTACATTGATGCATTGATTACAAAGTTGGCAAAGAAGAGGAGAAAGCACCTATCCCCACATCAAACAGACAATTTGCTAGCTCTCCAAGCAGCCCAGACCAGGAAACTTTACAAACCATTCCAAACTCGATGCTTTACGGATGGAAACTGAGGGAACCTTTTGAATTTCTATAACTTTACAAAGCAAGAGGGAAGAAAGTGTGAAGATGGGATCCGAGCTTGCAAGAGGTTAAAGTAGTAATAATACTAATAAACAACAGCAGCAAAGCAAGGAAATTGGGAATAGGTCCTCTAAGCAGGTTAAAGTCTCAAAAAATGCCATAAAGAAAACAGAAGGACTTACATGATCGGCTAAATTTGTGGAAGATCCTGAGAGTTCTTCGTGGTCTGATTTGGAGCTGCCATCCCTTTCATCAATAACAAGGTCTATTGGCATTTTTCCTTTCAAACAACTAATGTACCGATGGCAGAAGTTATCACACAATTCATGAACCTGAAAAGAATAACAAGAATAATAGTATCAATCATGGCAAACTATCATATTGCAACTTTTTTTTTTTTTTTTTTGGTAGCAAGGACAACCCTCTGTTCTACTCCACAAGTAACTCTAATTAAGGGGGACAATAGTTGAAGGCAAGGAAACAATAGAGAAATTGTTGCGGCACATATTATTCTCTAGAGACTTGTCGCAGCAACAAGTTAGAGAGAGAGATAGTGGGCTTGGACTGGTGTGCAGAATAAAATCAGATTTGATGATAACATCAGAACACTGGGAGCTGGACCCAGACGGTACCTCCGGAGCATACACGAGCCGGACAGGTACAACTAGTCACTCGGGACGGGATTGGTTTAAACCGGGGCTAAAAACAAAGGTCTAAATGGTCGGGAGCAGTAAAACGAAGCTACTCGGTGAGGTTGTGGTTAGAACCGTTCTAATCCCAGGACACAGCCCCCTGCCCACACCGCACAGGGGCCCCTGCCTCTTCCAAACATTTAGTGCTTGCTTGGGGTTAATGTGCCTGCCAGAGCTGGAGAGGGGAGAGAATGATTTCATATCTTTTTGTTAAACATATTATTTCTGAGTGAGGAAAAGAATATCTACTGAGGGAAAGGGCAATAAGGATGGAAGGGGTTTAACATATTAAATATTTAAATTAGACAAACACACACACACATTAAAAAAAAAAAAAAAGCCGGGCTGGGCCGAGCATGCCTGTCGGGTGTCACATGTTCTGATGGTACAGGTTATAGTGTCACACTGCGTTTCCCCTCTCTCCTCTGGCCATGTTTACAAGTCAGTCCAGTCGGGAGGGAAGGGTGGGGTGGGGGAGGTGACGACAGGGAGGGAACAGCATTCCCCGTGCCCATCTCCGTGGCTCTTACCTTTTCTAATTCCAAAAGATGAAACCTTAGTACTTGTATTGCTTGGATCATCTGCAAGAAAGTTTTGAGCAAGAGGTTACGTGAGAGACAGGACCACGGGGGCTGTGCAGTGCTGCGAGTCCAAGTGGGCAAGGGGGAGAAGGGCATTGTCAGGGCGCGCAGTCATTATCCAGGATTTTAGCTCATTGGTCACGCTTCAACAATTTTGATCAACTTTAACCTAAGCACTTGATTTTTATCGTATTTATTCCAGGAGCGGTGATTAGCGCTTTATTACCGCGATCTTGGAGAAAACCTTTTCCTCTTCTCCTTGCTCCCTCCTCAGCACCCCGGCCTTCATCCCTGAGGGTCCGCAGAGAAGTCAATCACACGCTCCCACCCCCACTCCCCTCCATCCCCCCGGCCCGCAGGATAAAGGGTGGTGAGTGTGTGAATAGTTTAGCATCTTTTTTACAGGCGGATTTAGGCACTTTGAATATTGAAATCATTCACATTACCAAAAGAATTACGTTAGAATTCTCCATCTCTCTCTTCTTAAGAAGTTATTTCCTTCACTTTAGCTTCCCATAGCTTTCAAACGCAGCTTTGCAATGCATAGGGCTCGAGAGTTTGTCCTGGCTCTTTTTTAAAAGAGTGCAGCTCTTTGAAGCCCCTTGACTGCAACTCCCCAGTCGGCCGGCGCCCCGCTCCCCTGCCCACGCAGCCCGGGTGCCTGGGACGGCAGCCGCTGTCCCGCCGCACCGATCTGCCCCGGCCCCGGGCGGCGGAGGGCGCTTGCCGGCAGCTGGCAGAGGGGTCGGGAAGGACGAGAGAGCAGTGGGGTGGAAGGGGAAGCAGGCCTTACCAAATTGTCCAACTCTGGATTTGAAGAAAAAAGTGGTTTTTCGGCGCGGACCTGCAAGAAGAAGGAAAAGCGGCGTGAACTACAGCTTCTCTTTTTAGCCCTGTAACCGGATCACTCGAAGGGGGAAAAACCCCTGTGACAAAACAGACTGCTACCAAAATCCGACTGATCGCCCTGGGTCACCGCGCTTGGAGAGAAGCTGCCGGCCAGGCGCCGAGCCGGCCGCCGGTGACACGGGAGCCCTCTCCTTTGGGTCTCCTGCCTGCCTCCCGCTCCCTCTGCCTCCAAAACTCGGCCACAGCTATCTTTCCCTATCACTAGTGCAGGAGGGCGAGGGCCGGGAGTCCCTGCCTGGCAGCGAGGAGGAGCTGCCGGCGGAGGGGGAATTAGGGCCAGCCGGGCCACCAGCGCGCACCCCCGCCCCGCCGGAGAGGGGGCGCCGGGGGGGAGGGGGTGCTACCCCTGCCAGCACCCGTCCGTGTGGGTCGAGGAGCTGAGGAGGCGGCGGGAGCGCTGGGGAGGGTCGGGGGCGGGCGGAGAGGTGCCGAACCTGTTTGGCGAAGACGGCGATGTCCTCGTTGAAGGAGTCGGAGGAGCAGACGTCCCCGCCGGCCACGCCGGGCTCCCGGGGCGTGCAGGTCGCCAACTCGCACTTCTCAAAGACCAGAGCTAAGAGGGGGAACAACGGGTGCCTACCGGGCAGTGGCACACAAAGAGAAGGGAGGGGGTGGAGGGAGAGGGGGAAAGAAGAACTCTAATCAACAAGTATTCTTTTTTTTTAATGCATGGACACACAGACATGGACACACGGACACAGCCACACTCTATAGCCTAGCAGTAATGCTCTGGGCAGAGTAGGAGAGAACAACATTTTGAAATAAAAATGATGAGGTTTGTAGTGGACTGTTTTTTGTTGGGTTGCTGGGTTGTTGGTTTTTGTTTGTTTGGGGTTTTTTTGAAATTGCAATACCCGAACCGCATCCCCCGTTCAGTCCTCACAGATTAGGACAAAAGTGACCGCTCCTCCAAATGCACAAGGCACCGAATGTGCTTAGCAGCAGCTCAGCTGGGAAGCTTACAATTTTTGCCACAGTTTAACATACCGCAAAACGTGGAAGATCCCATCCCTACCCTCCAGCTATGACCTAAAACGAGAGCACAGCTAGGCAAACTGCAAACTCCTTAATACGTAATTTTATTTTTCAAGGGGCCTGCTAGCAAAAATGTGGTGAAGTTTCCTGGCTTAGGAAGCACACCCAAGTAAAATACCATCTGTCCAGATAAGTGAGCAGGGGAGGGGGCGGAGGGAGGGAGCACTTCGTGAAATATTTTCCCATAGTTGGTGTAGTCAGAAAAAAAAATTATCTGCGTGTTAAGTAGTAATCATGCGTTTGCTTCTTTTCCCCTTTGGTGTCTGATCAAGGCCCCACACTCTGTCATAGATGTTACTAGATCTCATTTGAGGATCATTTAGTATTTTTTCCAAAAGGAATTGAAAGGAATTGGTGTCATTCCCTCCAAGCAATGCCCTGGTGCCTTGAGTTTTGCTGGGTATGTGTCTCTTTTCCTCATGTTCTTTCTTAAGTAGAAAACTCATTTCATTGCCCCCAATGTATTTATGTCTTCTATCTCAGGGAAGAGCTGTTTGCAAGAAGCGAATCCCTTTCATTCTTACTATCTTCTGCGTTGTGAATAGCTCTTTATTTACAAAGTTGGGAGAGTGGTATTGTGGCATGGAGGAGAACACCAGAACAACACTTCTCCAACTAAAATTCAAAGCAGTGAGAGCCGTCTCTAACTCCTAACTGTGGCCTTTCCAAGAAAGACAAAAAAAACCCCACGGGTAAGGAAAAGGGGGGTGGGGGGAGGAAAAATACCCGAGTAAATAAAAAAGAAAAATGGAAGGACAAGGCAACACCACCTCCCCCAAGCCTAGCTTCTCTCCCCGAGAGGTCTGTTTTTCCAGCACCCGTTTCTCGTGGGTGCTGGTACCTCAGCTGAGAGTCAGGCTGCGATCGCCCTCGTCCCGAGATCGCCAGCCGCGGCAGTGCCACCGCGGAGGTCTCCCACCAGAGCTGGCGGCTGGTCGGCCACCGCCCTCCCGCTGGACCCTCCGGGGCTCCTCCCGCCCCACTCCACTCCGGGGCCCGACTGCCGCTGCCGCCGCGGCCCCGCGGGAGACCCTGCCGCTCGCCCGCCCCGCTTCTGCCCTGGCCGCTCCGCGGGCACCAGCGCTGCGGAGCCGGGCCCGGGCGGCCCAGCGGCACCTACCCGTAGATCGCATCCTTGTCCCGCTTCAGGGCGTCGTTGACAGCGGAGCCCATGCTGGCCGGCATGACATTGGGGTGCGGGGCGTGGGCGCCGTAGTGCTGTCCGGCGTGGAGCGGCGGCCCATGGTTGAGGTGGTGCACCGGGGGAATCGGCCGGGGGGCGTGGGGGTCCCCGTACATGGACGCCGGCACCCCTACTCCATCCATCCCGCCGTAGTGGGGCAGCTCATCGTACTGTCAAAAAATGGGCCGGAAGAGGAGAAAGAAAAAGAAAGAGGAGAAGAGAGAGGGGAATAAAAAAAAAAAAAAAACAAAAAAACAAACCAAACAAACAACAACAACAAAAGTCAGAAGAGAGTAAAGCACCCGGACAGACACAAACAGAGCAAAACAAAACAAGAACAGCCACAACAGAGAGAGAAATGCGCAAAATGAAATCAATTGAGACCGGGAGCAGGGGCTGGAGAGGCTGAGGAAGGAGTGGGGGTGCGGGGAAAGGTAAAGGGGGAAAGCGTGTATGCCTGCCTGCGTGTGTGTGGGTAGACGGTCCTCTTCAGCACGGGCAGGAGAACCCCTAACAAGGAAACGGGAATGAAAAGGAAGGAAACGGAGGAGAGAAACTAGAGTTACTTTGCATTAGAGAGAAAGAACAACAACAAAAAAAATTAATAAACAAGCAGAATCAAAAGCAACTAGGTAAATAAATGAACACTAGGAAGGAGAGAGGTAAGGTAGGGTGCATGGGGAGGGGGAGGAGATAAAGGGGGAAATAATCTGAAAGTTACCAGAAACATTATTTAGTAGCAATTCCCCTTGTCCTTGTCAAAGCCAGAGACCAAAAAAAAAAAAAAAAAAAAAAAGGCAGCTATATGTGTATACATATATATACATTCATATATACGCAGACACACACATGTATTTCTTAGTCTTTGCTAGACAGTGGCAGTAGCGGCGGCAGCAGCAGCAGGAGCAGCAGCAAGCTTTCCCCTGTGAAACCCGTGCTACTGAGCAGGCAGAAAGCAGGGAAATCGCTCTGCTGGGGGAAAAGCTAGAAAGGAAAAAAGCGTGGAACAATTGCAGAGACACACACAGAGAGACACTCATGCACACACACAAAAAGCCAGTGAATAATTTTTGCTGCTATTTTTTAATAGTGGCCGCCATCATCAGCAGCAACAGAGGAGAGCAAATCGGACAGGCCCCTCTTAAGAGAGGATTTATATATAGGTAAGTGTTGGAGATTTAAACCTACCCTTTGCGCCATCAGTCTGCGCTCCAATAAACTCCTGGATGTGTCGTATATTTAATATCCCAGTCCAGCAAAGAAAGTGATTTAGAGTGAAGAAGATTCCTTTTTTTTTTCCAACCCACTTATAGGCTTCTCCTATTCTCCAATATGGGTAAATAATAATAATAACAACAACAACAATAACAACAATAATATATAAAAAACAGTCAAGAACCACGATGAGTTTCTGAGTTTTCTTCTTTTTTCTGTCTCTTTCTCTCTTTCCTTTTTCTCTCTCTCTTTTTCCTTTTTTCTTTCTCTACGCAAAAAAAAAAAAAAAAAAAAAAAAAAAAAAAAAAAAAAAATTGTCAAGCCCCCAAACTGAAGGTTACGATCGGCCCGTCAGCAACCCACATGTAACCAAACTGTCGTGTCTCATGGCTTTTTGCCACTCCAGCTGTCAATCAAAGCCAGGGAATGTCAAGGTAGTGAATGAATGATGGTTGATGATGATGAAGAAGAGAGGAGGAATCTTTTTAACCCCGGTTTCTTCTTCCAGGAACTCCGTGGTCGGGTTTTGCCTTTTAGGATCGCTATAGGGTTGTTGGTTTTTGTTTTTTTGTTTTTGGTTGTTTTGTTTTTTTTTTAAGTACTGTGAAGGGGGGTGGGGAAAGATGCGAAGAAAAATTGAATAGTTTGCAAAGCCCGGACTTCCCCCTCTCTCCTTTTTTTTTTTTTTT